GTTTGAGTCCACAAGCTGAAATAAAAAGACCCCAACACCCCATGATGGGACTCTGGCCTGCGGTGCACTTCATGGGGCAGCTGGGCACGTCTGTGGTATTTCTTGAAAGGGCTGGTCCCTAAATCCATCATGTTTGCAGCAGAAATAGTGTGTGCGTTAGTGTGCGGCAGGCAGCAGCGTGGGTGCTGTCGGGGTGCAGCACCCACATCTCCTGTGGGAGGGGGCTGCAAGAAGGGGACCCCTCTACTCGTGGGTTGTGTGTGCTGGGAGAGGAGGGGAGTGTGTCTGCAATCGAGCGTGAGGATTAGGACGTCTCAGAATGAGTTAGAGATGAGCAGTTAGACACCTCCATGTGTGTTTTAATATTTCAGAAGCGCCTGGTGTCGTGGTTTATCGGCTCTGTTGCAGATACTGATCCCAAGTGTACAGTTCACTGAGTGCTGGATAATTACCTGTCATTAGGAGGTCAATAAACAGCTTCGATCCCCATTTCACCAGGCCGAGATGATCTGAACAGTTTTTCCTGGTGACAGGTAGCTGGTGCAGAATTAAGGATGTCTTTGAAAAGATCGTTGTGTTTTTAAGAAATTGTCCCCAAGAAATTCCCGCTGCGGGGCAGACTCCGAGAGCTCCATTTGTTTTCCTGTGTGTGCTGCCAGCCCCAGCTGGCATTTGTTCTGCGACGCGTGTGAGGAATTGTCCTCGTCAGGAGTCCTGAGCAATGAGGAGAGCAGCCATGAAACCAGCCCCTCGTGAGGACTGGTGTTGCTGGTGCCTTCTCCCTTCATTTCACTGCAAATGTTGTCAAGGCCAAGCACATTTTTTTAGGAGGCTTCCCTTATTGTTCTTGCGTTAGCTAATAAACGATCAAACAGTTTGAGTCTGAGTGAGGAACAAAAAAATGAATCAAAATGTCTGCATGCAGCCCTCTGAGGAGAAATCAAGGCTGGAAATCTCAGGGGGCACCTAGATCAGTTTTCATGAAACATTTACCCACGCTGCCCAGCTGGGCTGTCACCTCACTGGTACTTGATGCCCTGGGGCACTCGGTGGAGGTGCAGCCTTTGGGATGTGCAGGCAGCAGCATTGTCCCCTGGAGCTGTGCAGGGACCCCGGCAGCTCTGATCCCCCCAGCAGCGTGGGATGCACCAGTCTGTCACAGCTAATGGTCCCAGAGGAGTGACAAAGCAAACCAAGCCTGCCCTGGCTTGGGGGTCCCTGCAGAGATGGTCGCCTCAGGCAGAAGGACCATGTCTGGATGATGCCATCATCAGGAGAGCAGAGCAGAACCATCTCATTCTTCAACCACGGCCGAACATCACTCCCATTCTTCCCCCTTTGACCAAGGCCCTTCGGGTTTACTCGGCGTTTCTGTCCTCGCACCGTGATTTGGCTTCATGTTCTTGGGGCTTTGAAAGTTGCTTTAGCGAGACCTGTCCCTCACAATGTCACTCTCTTTATGGGAATCTGCTTCGGTTTATTCAAAATATTTAATTGTCAGAGACCTCCGCATTCAGCAACGGCTGGTGAGAGGCCAAGTTGCAGTCATGCCTGAAAGGTCACTGCTCAGGAGCTATTCTCTGCAGTGCCAAAGGGCCCCTTTGCTGTGTGCTGACCATTATCTGCTCCGTCTTTATGGCAATTCAGGTTTCATATAGTGATTGCCCAAAGTATAAGGTGATTCAGGAGGGGTGATAACATAATACCATCTTGTTAACGCTCCCTTCCACCTTATCAAATGTCACGATCTAGTTGTGACAGCAAAGCTTTGTGCTCCCAAGATGCCTGGATGATCAGGTTGCAAGAAGAGTGACCACTCCTTAAGTACTTTGGCACCTTTGTCATCCCTTCCTTGGCCTTAAGCTAGGGTATTTTTTAAAGCTGGAATTAATGTGTGACAAAAGCTGGCTAATCTGCTGGAAATACTTATTTCCAAGTTTGCAGAAAGTATTAAGTCTGAGCAAGCATTTTTCTGGACTATTATTCTTCAGAGGTGGGGAGCAGCCCATCCGCCCCGTCGTTAATGAGCACATCAGGGGAGTGAACAGTTCACTGCTGTCCCCTCGGCCAACACATCCTCCCTCCACCACGGACAACCTTCGCGGTGCACCTCGGGACGTGATCTGCACACAGGGACTGTGTCTGTGGCCCGCAGAGGACGAGTTTCTTTTTCCTGCCCCAAAAAGCTGCTACTCTGGTGCAGCTCAAGGTGGTAGCTCCATGTCCCTCTGCGGTGCTGGTGATGGGGGCCAGGATGGGGTGAAAGGGAGAAAGCCAGCATGGCTGAAGGTGCACATGGCATGTTGGCTCAGAAGAAATTTTTGCTCCTTTTCTCCTGCCCGTAGCTGAAAATGAGCCAGGTGGAGCAGCTGGGCAGAGCTGCAATGCAGAGGCAGAAGACCCTGGGCAGTTGCAACACATTTGGTGCATGGGATGGTGTGGCAGAGAGGCCACGGCTCTTGGTACATCTGCACTGGGATCAACCGTCCCTCCAGGACTTCAAGATGATCCAGAGCCAACAAGAACTAGCCTGGAAGCTCCCCGGCTTCATGGTCAATGGCATCACCCTCTCAACTGTATCTCCCTGTGACAGCACATCTCACCTCCAGTCCTGGAAATAATGCCATGCCAGTTAGACCAGGGCAACATTTCCAATCAGATGGTGTGTCTACAGAGTCTGACTGCTCAGGGCATCTGTAAAGCCATGACACCCAATTCATTCAGCTTATCATGGTGTCACTATTCCTTCCCAACTCAATGCCCCCTTTTCCTCAACTATCTAATCTGTTTCTAATGAGAAATGTTGGGTGAGGTCACAGTCTGTAGGCCAGATGGGATGGGAATGCTGGGCACGTCCTGCTGGCCCGGAGGGCAAATACCCAGCTCTGTTACTGTACCCTTGGACTCTCTTTACGTTGAGGTAGGTGCTGCCTGGTCCTTCATTTATCACCCCTAAGTGTGGCACATCCCTGCTGCCCGGGCTCAGTCCTGCAGCACCAAGAACTGCAGAAGTGCCTGACAGCAAGGGGTGACCTGTGTATTGACACTTTTTCACTTAAAACTTCAATTTTTTTGGAGAAAAAAAAAAGTCTTTTATCAGGGCATGAATTTTCAGCCATGTCCACATGTTGAGATGAGAGCAAACCCAAAAGGCCAATGAACCAAACCAGGCAGCGGCACACAGCGTGGCACCCAGAGCTGACTGAGGCTGCCCCTGCACCCATTGGGGCGTTGCTCAATGATTTACCTAACTACGAACATCTCTAGGGAAATATTTGCAGTGGAAGTCACCAGAAACCATACGTTGTTTGTTTTGCTCCCCATCAATCATTCTGGATGTCCTCGATGACATCGCTTGCCCCTTTCCTGCTGTGAAGCTCTATATATGAGGATGCTTGTCACAGGTCATCTTCAGAAGACAGGGACGTCGGTGAGTGAGGTCCTCGCACTCAAGAGCTTGGTCAGGTAAGAGCAAACTTATTCCTCAAAATGTATGTTCTCAGCTTCTGCATCTGCAAACCTGAATGCTTCCCAAAGGAGAATCCTTAATGTTTGTTCAGGAGTATTGGCTTTTGAACAAAAATTGCTATTCTTGCCTGCTGCCTGCCTGAATTATGCTCCAACAAGTAAAGCGCACAGTGGATTTCACTGTGGGCTTCCAAAGAACAGACACGTGTGGTCGTTGTATTTGCAGCCCTTGAAGAAAAAAGGGTATTTCATGGTTTTCACAAACAATTATCACTTAAATTATTTTTGGTATAACTCTGTTATCTGAGATACATTTTTACCTAAGGTGGATTAGACCTCTCACACTTGCTTTGATCCTTTCTTGATGTGCTATTTACATTTAAATAGATTTGGGGCAATGAAGTTCATTATGGTTCTTTTTTTTTAAAAAAAAAAAAGCAACTTCAGGTTGTAAGTCCCACAGAAGAATTTCAATGACACTGAAACTTTAAAAATCATTTTCTTCATTTTATAATTCTAGCAAAAGGTGCTTTTATGCAGAAGGAAGCCTCAGATGTTTGATGTTTGTGTGGAGACCATGATAGTCAAACAAGGAGACGCTCTCCTTACTCGATACGTGCATTTGTCCTGTGCAGATGCCTTTGCTTCTCTTTCCATGACTAGAGATGATCGTTCCCATCATTTGGGATACAGGACCTTGTTTTTTGGAGAAATTCCCACCCAGAACAGCTGTACCCCAGATCAGTCACCAGCGCTGCTCACCGGCGCTGAGCGATGGAGCGGGGACAACCGAACAGCCGCTCGGTTTCATGTGGCTGCGGTGGGGTCGGTCTTTGGAGCAACTCTAGTTGGTGTTCTGGTTCCTCCTGCAGGAAAGTGCCATCAGGAGTTTTACTGTGGCCACCAGTGTGGTGAGGAGGCAGGAGAGGTGCCAGCAGCTTCCCCTCTGATCTTGTCTCCCCTGACAGACGTTCCTCCTTTTCCTTTCCTCCCTCCTCCGCCTCGCGCTCGCTGTCCCAGCTGCACTGATGACGATCACTTTCCACAGTTACCAGGACCGAAGATGTCCGCGTTCCGGGCTGTTCTCCTCCTCTGCAGCCTGCTGACGGCTTCACAAGGGCTTGGACTCCTACCCTCGATTGCCAAAGGGAAACCAGGTGGTAAGTGTATCGAAGAGACAGGATTTTTTTTTTTTGAGACCATTTCTGCTCTTTCTGTCTCTTGACCATGCTCAGAAA